TTTGCTCCTTGTGCATATTACATAAATGTGATAATGATTTATGCGACTCCAGGTTCCGAGTCACAATTCCGACTCCTGGCAACTGGTTCCGTGTGCTCTGCCTCCTCCAGTGTCTTGGCCCACATCCGCTTTAGCGTAAATACCAGCATTTAAATAATTGGCAGCCAAGCAGCTTCTGCTCTCTCCCTGCCCGCCCTAACTCCCTATACCCATCTCCCTCGCCCCCTGACGAATGCCTAAGCAAACAAACAACAAGCGAGGCGCGCAAACACAAAAAACAAATACAAATAAAGTCCCACTCTCTCACACACACACACACACGCATACATGCATGCTGTATAACAGCACCGGGAAGAACAATGCGCACTTTACACCATTTTTCTTACACTTTGCATTGCAACAACAACAAATTCCGTTACCCTCACACGCCTTCTCTCACCTACACTCTGGCAAAGTTTTATTGCACTCTCAGATTTGCAGGAGCAAGTTTTGAAGTGGAGAATCATTTGTTTCGCCTCTCGTGAATATTGCAATGCATATTTGTTATACGGGCTTCCAATAGACAAGGTAGCAGTTGATTCGAAGCTAGTATTTGAGTTTTAATGCCGTTATGCAGGTGTACACGTACTTCTATTTACAGTTGAAAGATTCTTTGGCAGCACCTCAAGCGCGCATAACCTCAACAACGTGCAATGGAAATCTTATTAAAAAGTATTTAAGCTCTTTTATAAGATTTGTTCTTGTATGCTGGCGAACTTATAAGAGTTACCAGCAAGTATAAGAGCTTTTTTTTTTTTTTACCAATTGAGTATGCAAATATACTTATATGTGAATCTTCTAATTAGAATTGTTAACATAACAGTTCTTATACATGCATAAATGTAAAACGATTACAAAATATAAGAGCTAAGTTCATGCTCACTTGTGAAAGGACACATCAATAAGTATAAGACAATCTGAGCTGCATGCTAAGTTAATCTTATACGCTGCTTATATCTATTCCTATTTCCTTCCTCTCTTCAACGCATTCAATTGTTGAATTTAAAGAGATTTTCTTTGACTTATGGCAGGTTTTTCAAAATTTTATGTAGTCAACTACAACAATATGTAAACACACGCCCACACACTCACACGTGCAGACAATGCTCTCTCCCCCCTACCTCCTTTACACAAACATATTTACTTACATAAAGCTTAAGTGGCAAAAGTTGTGCCAGAGGCTTACAAAACTCTTAAGCCCCTCGCCTTGCCCGACGCTAAGGCAACCCTTTTTCGCCATTTCAGCTGGCCCCCATGCTCCTCTCTTCTGCTCTCTTCCACTCTCTTCGCTCCGTTGCCCTTTGGCATTCATGGCTAGTTCTCATAACGTTCGCGTAAGTTGCATGCACATTAAAAATTAAACATTCAACATAAATAAATAAATGGTAGCAGAAGTAGAAATAGCAATAACAACAGACAAATCAAAAACTTAGCTCTCATTGTTGTTGCTGTTCTTGTTGTTTTTATTGTAGCCACTTTGCTGCTGCACTAAAAGCTTATAAATTATTGTCGAGCTGCCATGTTGAGCCATTGCAACAACAACAAGAACAACAACAGTTACTCTATTGGCAGAGAAGCACGCCCGTTGTCAGGCTTTGTTAATTTTTTAACAGCAACGCCAACGCCGCAGTCGACGCAACCGACGGAAGCAACGCCGCTGTGTCAACGATACAGTTAGTTGATTCCAAAGAGAGCTTTTACAGCTATTTGAAGCTGTCACAATTTGACTTTTGTGCCTAATTTCTTTACAAAAAGTTTGCCTTGCCAACGCACACTTGGCTCGAGGCGCAAAACTAAGGAAATTGTATAAAATTTAAACAAGCAAATTCTATTTTCAATGTGTGTTAGCTAAGTCAGCTGGTGTGAGGGAGACAAACATATCATAATCAGTGGTTTTCCGGCAGGCTGCATTTACAGCTAGCACAAGAATTTGGCTCAACAGCTGGACATTTTCCACCTGCACTCGACTCCATGTCCAGACGGGCAGTCTATTTGGTGTTTGTTTGATTACAAACAGATGCACAGGGACAGGGGGAGAGAGAAAGCGATGGAGTAGAAGAGTGGGCGTAGAAGAGTGAGCGAGAGAGGGCAAAGGTATCATAGCGATGGCAGCACAACTACTTACATATTTGCATACAAGTATTTATGTATGCATTTGTGCAATTGCTTCATCTCCTGTTGCGGCTTTGTCATGTAGCCGACGGCGCGTCGTCATCGACGTTGATGTCTTCGTCTTCGTGTTCGTCTTTGTCGTTTGTGTTTGTCGAAAGTTGTGATTTTGTTGCTGTTGTTGTTGACATGCTAATAATGATCGTATATTGGCGCAACTGCTCTTAGCACCCAACAGAGCCGCAAATTAGCAGTGGAAGAGAGTGGCAGAGCGAGGACGCAGAGCGCATATAACAGCTGCTGCTGCTGCTGCTGCTGCTCGGGCTGCTGGGATACGCCTCAAAGGCAGATATTTTTATGCTTATGCCAGAACAATAACAACAACTGCGGCAACAGCAACTGCAAACAACAACAAAACGCGCAAAAGCACATAAACTAAGATAACATACGCACAAACAGCAGCAGAAGCAACAGCAACAACAACTGCATCAACAGCAGCCGTAGATTTCTTAACAGCGGCAACAACAAATGCACTTCCTGTTATTATTGCTGCTGCTGCCGCTGTCTCTCTCTCTCTCTCGCTCTCTCTATCTAAAGTTTCTGTATGCATATGTGTGTCTGTTTGCATAGGTGTATGTGCGCTTGCATGATTTCAACGCCGGCAGCACTTTGCTGTTTATTTACACAGACTTCTTTTACATTATTTCATATGCATAAATTGCCACCCACACAAACAAATGCACTTGTACACACATGCAGCAGCACGCACGCACACACGTACAAAGTGCGTACACCAAATGAGCGTAATTAAGTGCAAAGTCAGACTTCCTTTGCTGCTCACACTCCCACTCACCATCGCGCCCGCACTCTTTCATTTATTCTAGTGCTAGCTTAATAACAAACGAAGACCAGAGCTTTGAAGCTGTTGCGGTTTCTCTTGCACCGCAATTTTCGACTGGCATAGCAGAGAATGAGAATATGCTACACAGAGTGCGCAAAATCAATCAGTTATCTATTAGTAGAGTATTCAAGAGTCATCATTATGTATACCTATTTGTTATTTTTAGAAGTTTGTGCATGAAAGCAACGAAAAAGAAACTTTCGTCTTTCTGACTTTGCGTAGAGATTCTTGTTGTAAATTCTTATTTGATTCACGATGGTTTTTGCAGTTCGGCTGCTCTAAAGCTTATCAAAGCTTGTTTTACTTGAATTTTCTACCTTTTGGTGCATGTGTTAAAATTGCATGCATTGCTTTTTCTTTTCTATGCGTGTTTGTGTTGATTTAGCCTGCAACATATTTTTGCTTAAATAAATATTTTGTTAGCTGCCCAACGAATTTTAGTTGGCCAAAGGTGCATACATATGAACTAATAAAAAAATAATTGAAGAAATAAAAAAACACACAAATAACGCTCTGGTTGGTTTGTGAATTTTTAATAATCAGTGCTGCCGCAGTGCAGAGGTTTGTAAGAGCGAGAGAGATAGAGAGAGGGCGAGCTTTTCAGTTGACATTTACTTTATATTCAACTCGTCTCTTCAGGCATTTCATCATTTAAATTAGCAAGCGCTGTCGCCTTGACAACAGCAGCAACAACAACAACAATAGAAAAGCACGCAATGCACACACACACAGACACAGAGAGAGTGAGCGAGAGTGAAGAGAACGCCCAATCAGACAATGGCCACAGCATTGCATCAAACAAAAGCGTGAAGCGCACAAAAGGCTGATGCTTCTGCTTCTGCTGCTGCTGCTGTTGTTGCTAGCAAAGCACAAAAGCAATTGACAAATTTACCAAGGTGCGCTCACTCACTCTCACTCGCCGCTCTATCCCGCTCTCTCGTGGTAGAAGGCATTTGAGAAATGGCTCACAGTGAATTCACTGAATAGTGATTTTTCATAGTGATAACAATGGCTCGCTCTGATTTGATTTGATTTGCATGCGCCATACATATATCTGCCGTTATAGTTTTTTCTACCCATTCTCTTTTGCATTGTTTTTGTTGTCGCTGGCCTTAAACTCTTATACGTTCGCTTTAGTTTCCATTTATGGGCCGCTCTCTAACTCTTATATCGCTTCAATCATCGCTCTCTGTCGCTCAGCTCTCATTACTATCCGCTTTCAATAAATCTGCAGAACTTAATTTCCGGCTGAATGATGTTACTATCCAGCATCTGGCAGCCAGCATCGAGCATCGAGCTTCTCCCATCTCCATTTTCCATTTTCCATTCTCTCCCACACATACATAAATTTTCACCTTTAAGCGCTTTTTGTAATTACATTTCAGTCGGTTCTCCATTTCGCTGGACATTCTTATACTTGTTGTTGTTTTTGGCTGCCGCTTTTAATAAAGTTTATCTAGCGTTGTCCTTTGTTTCATCCTTATCGACATGCTTGTAAATTTATGTTTAGTCTGCTCTCTCACTCTCACTCCCTCTCTCTCTCTCTTTCTGTCTGCACCGTGGGCGAGCAAATATTTTCTTGGAGTTAATTGAATTTGTGGGGTGGACCAAAATTCAAGTGAATTTCAGTCAAGAAAATTTCAATGCTCCTTAACAGAATTTTAGGTGCTTGATGGGGGGCGACTTGTTCTACATAAGAACTCCTAATGGCGCATTAATTGCTTAAGTGACAAAACTTGTTTTAAGGAAAAACGATATACGACCTGTCCCTAGAGGGAACCACTTAAGAGAACATGCACATATGTTAAATCTTTAGTCTCTGGGTGGGATCTGTGCTAGAAAACTCTAAAGTACATATTTAAATATTAAATCACCCCAAGAAACAATAGACATCAGTTTGTAAAACCTTTTTCTTCCTTTTTTAATTTTCCAACTCTTTTCTGCTCAACAGGTGAAAATCCACATATCATCGAACATCCCATGGATACTACGGTCCCCAAGAATGATCCATTCACGTTCAATTGCAAAGCCGAGGGCAATCCACCTCCAACGATTCATTGGTTCAAGGATGGACGCGAACTGAAGACGGACGCGGGCTCACATCGCATAATGCTACCCGCGGGCGGTCTATTCTTTCTGAAGGTAAGTCTTCAAGTCTATCATTATATTACCAGACTCCCTCAATCCAGCTGCTCCACAACGATTTCTCCTCTCGTTTCATCATTTCTTGGGAATCGCAACATTTGTGCATCAAAATTGTTGCTCATATTATTTTATGCGCTTCCGATTCGTTGCATTTCGATCGGCAAGTAAAACAAAGTGCAGACAGCTCGTAATAAAAACAACAAGCGATAAGAATGGAATGGGCATAAGTATGGGCCCCCCTTTACAAGCCTGCCAAAATGTCTAGGCTGAAGAACTGTTCCTGTTGAGCATTAGGGATGACATAACATTTAAGAAAAGGGGTGGGAAAGGGAATGCCAGAAAATATCGATGAGGCAAAATAAACTGTGAACTGTTTTTGACATAAATGATGGGGGTGAAAGCCATATATAATATACAGAAAATATTTTAAATACTTAAAGGAAATAGAATAATATGAGGTGCGATTATTATTTTTTGTTAAAAAAAAAATAAATAAATATTTCTAAAATTTCCCCGAAAGTACTTAAATCTATTCTATTATAAAAAATAAATATGTTTCTTTAATATTAATATAATTTATATAAACTTAAACTTTTTGTAATTAATTTTGATTATTCATTTCATTTGCATCTTAATGATTTCACATTGTATTTAAATATCGTTCCTTTTGCCATCTCTAATTTTTTCTGCATTCTCTTTCCCTTTGCCTCCTCGTGCGTGCACATTTCACAATTCAAGCTAACGAGTCTTAATGCAGGGGCAGACGATGGGGGGTTGGGCGCAGTCACCCTCTGCTAACCACCCCCAACTCCCACCCCTGCACTGCAATTTTTGTCAGTTTCTTTTTTTTTTTTTTTTTTCCTTTTTTGCCCCGCCCTCGACTTTGTTTATATTACATTTTTGTATACCCCCCGCTCAGTAGATTTTCATTAAATGCAACAAAAATGTATTTGATATAAAATTTATTGTTACTTTTTCCTTTGCTATTTTCCACTTTAATGGAATTTAACGAATTATTTCGAGTTGAGCGCGTTTTGAGTTCAGTTTTTGTTAAATTTCAACAAATTATTTCTTTGACGAATGGGTTGCAATATTCTGGACACCAGTGTCGAGTGTTCCATGGGCCATGGGGCAGGGGAGGAGGGCTATCATTATCATTAAAAATCATCATACACTCACTTGCGCATATCTCGAGCTGAACAGAACCCGGAAATTCGAGAAGAGCTGCCGTCGCCTACCCCTAGTTAATTTTTATTGTTTTCAATGGCATTTTTGGAGTCGTGCCCCAATCCTAAGTGACTTGTGGGCCGGCTTACAGTTTGTTGCCAATTAAAACTGAAGAGGCCAAGTGATTAAGGCACAAACATACACACGGACAGACACGACCCTCTGTAGAGGGTACTTGTTCTTGTTTTTTTTTTTTTTAATTAAATTAAATTGCGTATACGTCGAGTGGACTGGTTGGTCAGCAGTTGAATTTTGGGTCTAGAGTTTTATTTGATTTTTGGTCGAGCGCATTTCGTTTTTGATCTCTGCACCGACACGTGTCGCTCTTAAGCTTATAACTACTCGCAATAATATTACACATATCTCTTCTGTAAAGTATCTAATCTCTAATTCTCCCCCTCCTCTCTTTCTTGCAGGTCATACACTCGCGGAGGGAGAGCGATGCGGGCACGTACTGGTGCCAGGCGAAGAACGAATTGGGCGTCGCACGTTCCAGAAATGCAACATTGCAAGTAGCATGTAAGTAATAAGTCTATAAGTCGGGAATTTTAAGGACAGTCTATTAAGCTCTTTTGTATAAGTAAATATTCGATAGTCCTCGAAATTTACTGAAAATTTCAACGAATTTGTATGTGAGTTTAGGGATACTGATTTAATGGGCATCGATTTATTATAGCTATATCCTATTGAAAAGAGTTATCATAAAGTGGGAAATTTAAATAACGAAAAGACTGGCATATATGAGCAGGAAAATGAAAGTCAATCAAGTATGAAGATGTTTTAATAAACATAAGCATTTGTATCATCTACAATTTTAGCTCAATCATTGTAAAATACTTACGAAATTTATGAGGAAGTAGCCGAAATCTTATATATATACGATTTTAGCCAAATCGCGTGTAAGTTAAGGGTTGCTGTTTTAGGCAAGATAGGATTTTAGTAAATAAGTTTGAAATGAACAGGAAAACTTATAAGTTTTAGTTAAATTGTTGTGTGTTAGAGATATTATTATTCATATTAATTGAAAATGGGGTCATGTTAAACAGAGGTGCATATTAATTATAAAAATCATCATGCCATACATAAATTGAGATATATCCTTAAAACCGTTTGACAAAACTTACTTTAAATCCTCCTCAAACTTATGTAAAAGGTTTTATAAAAATCCTATGTCATTTAACCTTTGCTATTCCATCAAAATGAGGTTTATCTATGTAAAAATGACTTTTTAACTAACTGCCCGACTGCCTTAACTCATATTCCGACATCATTTAGTTGCCAGCATAATTGTCAAAAGTTTTTTGTAGTGTCAAGCCAAAAAGAACACAAAACTTCAGATAGGCACAATGCCAAAAAAAACGAAAACTCACTCAATGACGTTGATCGATTGACGTTGCACATTTACAGCTAATGAACTTTTGTGGGCAGTCTGACTGGCCAACCCTTCAGCAACTGCATTGCATGTCCAGTTGCGAGTTGCTGTTTCTGTTTCTGTTCCTGTTCCTGTTCTGGTAGACGCAGCACGTCATGCACTCGCATTGCTTTCTAATTAATAAAATAAAGCAGTTCGCAGTTCGCAAAAATGTTTTGTAATTGATATCCAGAGCAACAGCAGATGGAACGATTAGGTTGATGAGGGGGCGGAGCGCACACGTTCACTGTATACTGTTTATTTTTGGGGCTGCTTTGCGTTGCCAGGGGCTGTTCCCAAGCAGATTAATTAATATTGCGTAGCCGCAGTCGAGAAAAGGATTTCAATTTCAATCCTTGCAGTCCTTGAGCCTCGGTTGAAAAGGGCCATCAGCTTTCGCATTTAATAGTCTTCACCTGGCACTCTCAACAATTGTTTATCTTTAACAACATTGTACGGTCCACTTGGACTGAATGCTGGATTGGTTCGTAAAGCTCGCATTTAGTTTGCGAAGCTGCTTTTTGTGTTGCCTTTGGCGTCCAGTGAAGCGCATTATGCGTTTATTGAAGTGCATTTTGCATTTTGCATTCTGCATTTCACATTTCGTATTTTACATTTTGTTATTCTCCATTTAAATACCCTGTATATGTAATTGGCATGCAAACGTGGTGCTTGAAATGGAATACTTTTTGTATATTCTATTTTCTGCGATTATTTCTTGTGGATAGGTATAGCAGGAGTTTCTTCTGTAGAAGTGATTGATCGGGAGCTGAGGAACAGTCGTATAAACACCGCAAAGCTGACAGTTAACAGGCCGAAATTAGGAAACAGACTATCTGCTTAACTATATAATTTCCTGATTCTCATTCCTCAAGTTTAGAAATTGAAGATCGTCTTGGCTTAAATGTAGATTTGAAATAGGGTCAGTAAGTTTTGCCTAAGATAGCTGAAAGACAGTCGAAAAAAGGTTTTTAAAGAGTATTTTCTATAAGTCCAACTAATATCTAAGCTTATCCTCAAAGTACTGTACGATCTATGAAATATGATATATGATCTATTAGTGTTGTAGAGCCATTATCAATAGTTTCTATAGCTACCATTCAAATTCAGTTACCTTTGACTATTCAAACTCTATGGTTAAACAACACTCACAGGATATTTGCCAGTCGACCTTACTCGCTTATTATCAATTTTGCAATTTCTGTTAGTAAAATAAGTAAAAAGAAAAATAACAGCAGGAAAATACGCATTGCAAATGCCAAAGCTTATTAATATTGCAGCAGCAACAACAGCAGGAGTCGAAATAGCAGCAGCAGGAGCAGCAGTAGCAGCTCAAAGCTTGGACAGCACATCATTATCAAGGTTTTATTGGCATATTGAGCGCAAGCAGGTGGGCGAGGGCATGGGCGTGGGCGTGGGCGTGGACGTAGCTGTAGCTGGGTAGCTTTCAAATGGCAGAGGGCATTAAGTATGAAGAAGGGATAAAGCAAATGCTGCAGGATGTTTGTCTCTGAAGCCGGTGTCCGTTACTCCAGCTCTCCCCCCTCACTCAGTCGGAGTTATTAATATTGAATCAATCAAAGCTTAACCCATAACAAAATTCACTCTCTCTCTCTCTCTCTCTCCTTCTGTGCCTCTCTCTTACACACTCTCCCATTTATTCTATTTACAGTTCTGCGCGATGAATTTCGACTGGAACCGCAAAACACACGAGTGGCCCAGGGCGAGGTAGCGCTGATGGAATGTGGTGCACCGCGTGGCTCACCGGAACCGCAAATCTCCTGGCGCAAGAACGGACAGACTTTGAACCTGAATGGCAACGGCGCCAACAAGCGGATCCGCATCGTCGATGGCGGTAATCTGGCCATACAGGACGCCCGTCAGTCGGATGACGGAAGGTATCAGTGTGTGGTCAAGAACATCGTGGGCACTCGCGAGTCGAGCACCGCCTTCCTCAAGGTGCACGGTAAGTGCGATGAGCTCCCATACCTGAAGTACTTAACGAAGACGGTTTTACTACATATTTTACCTCTCTCTCTCTCTCACTCTCTCCCTCTCTTGTAGTTCGTCCCTTTCTCATACGCGGACCACAGAATCAGACGGCTGTGGTGGGCAGCTCCGTTGTTTTCCAGTGTCGCATCGGCGGCGATCCCTTGCCGGATGTTCTCTGGCGTCGCACAGCCTCCGGCGGCAACATGCCTCTACGTAAGTATCTGCAGAGCCCTATTTTACTATTATTATAGCCATCAACTAAACTAGTGCATAACTAGACCTGTGGCCGTGTCGCTTACGTGTTCAGTCAATTAAGCGGAATTTAGTTTCATTTCAAATGAAATTTAAGCTTTTGCTTTGCCATATTTGCATAGGGCGAATAGTTTTTATAAAGGCAGCTGTCATGGGTCGAAAAAAAAAAATGGCAGAAAATAAAAACAAAGTTAGTTTCATGCGGTTACTTTGGCCTGTGGCCTTTCATGTTTACACTGCAATAGCATTTGCTGAGCTACACTGCGAGAAATTATTGATTGATAGATAAATTTATTGAATTTTATTTATGTATCGGAAAGTTAATTGTCTATGAAATAGCATAGATGCATTGAAGGTCTTGAGGGTATTTAAATCATAGAGTTGAAAAATGCATATTATTTTTAAATTATGTTTCATATGGTATTACCTTATATATAAGACTGATTACCCCATCCGCTTGCTGAATATTAAGGTGTTATTTTTTCCATTCCGAATCAACTAAATTTAAGTATAATTTAGTTCCATTGATATCTTAATTTAGCTCTAGACTGATAATTAAATAGAAATTCGTTTAAAAATCCCTTGTAAATACCTGAGTCTTAGAGCTCCACAACATTCTTGAATTTGGGACTTCTCATAATTTCTCTATAGCATCTCTCTTATTTCCATATAATATCCAACATTAGCTTGGACTAAGCTTCACTTTCTTCGCTCTGTCAACTCATTTCGCTCAGTGTAATAAACACCTATACGAACAGTTAGTTAGTTGTTGTTGTTGTTGTTAGTGCGATTGTGGTTGTGGGTGGGCCATGCCACGCCTCGTTCGTCGTAGCCCCCTTCCGTGTGTAAACACAACTGTAACTTTTAATTCCGTTAATTGCCAATCTCTGTTGGCAGCAATCAACAATTTTGCTTGCACAACACTCGACTGTTGCAATGTTGTCCTTCAGACAGGGACGCACTTTTCCCCCCCGAAACGCCAACGCCAAAGAGTGCAACTAACCAGCACGAGGGAGTGGGGAGAGGAGCTACACAAATGTATGGAAGAGTGTTGGGGAATGCTCAGCTCATACACACACACACACACACACTTAGTCTGTTTCCCCTCTGCGAGCTAGTTACGCTTCTTTAAACTGCCCTCGCAGCCAAAAGCCGTAAAAGAAAATACGGTAAAAACACATTCCGTCAGCTCAGACGAGACTTGAAGTTAAGTGCGAGAGAGAGAGACAGAGAGATAGGGAGAGCGTGGGCTAAACTTTTGTTAAGCAAACAATTGGCACAGTGGCCACTGAAGGAGCAACAACAACAGGAACAACATCCCGAACAACTACAACAACAACATTTAAAACCTATTTCGCAGTCAGTCAACCAACCAAAAAGAAAGCAACTTACCAAGGGGTAGTTAGAGTGAGCCAAGAGAAATTCAACGCATTGAGCAAAACATCTGCTGGAAAGTGAGGAAGGGAAAATTCAGTGCCATGAAGGAAAGTCTGGCTGAAGGAAAACACAGGAATATTCATATAACTCATATATAGTTTCTGTTCTCATCTTACAGGGTATTAGCGCGTCGATATCCATCACAAGAGTTTCCTTTCCTAGCTTCCTTTTGTTATAGCTCAAGCTCCGTTTGTTGTTGTCGTCTATCTCTTATTGTAGGACACAACCACAAAAGCTAGCTGCTCAATGTGTGTATCCGACCCTGTGTCGACGACTACCCCCACCCCCTGCTCTGCCCTGCTCTCTATCCACCTTTGGCTAGCTATTCTTGGCTTACTTTGCTGCGGTTATTTGAACTCCTTAGCTGGCAGTCTTGGCCATTTTTACGCTACTTGAACTACTAACGAAGTAGAAGAAGACGTCCGAGTTAGTTGCTCGTTTCTGACTTGCTCTCACATGTTACTTACCCCATCTCTCTATCTATCTCTCTCTCTCCTTCTCCCATTGCAGGCCGTGTGCACATACTTGAGGACCGCAGTCTGAAGCTGGACGACGTCACGCTCGAGGACATGGGCGAATACAGCTGCGAGGCGGACAATGCGGTCGGCTCAATTACAGCCACGGGCATACTCACTGTGCACGGTAAGTTAATTGCCCCAAAAGCCAGAAGCCGGCTACCCTCCCCTCTCCCCTCCCTCCGCTCACTTTACTTTAAAACTAAACAACCCGCTGTTTGCTTTGCTCCCATCCACAGCTCCGCCCAAGTTCATTACACGGCCCAAGAACCAGCTGGTCGAGATCGGCGATGAAGTGCTGTTCGAGTGCCAGGCCAGCGGTCATCCTCGGCCCACACTGTACTGGTCCGTCGAGGGCAACAGCTCGCTGCTGCTGCCCGGCTATCGAGACGGTCGCCTGGAGGTCAGCCTCACGCCCGAAGGTCGCTCGGTGCTCTCGATAGCGCGCTTTGCCCGCGAGGACTCCGGCAAGGTGGTCGTCTGCAATGCCCTGAATGCCGTCGGTAGCGTTAGCAGCCGCACCGTTGTCACGGTGGACACACAGTTCGAGCTGCCTCCACCCATCATTGAGCAGGGTCCGGTGAATCAGACGCTGCCCGTCAAGTCGATTGTGGTGCTGCCCTGCCGCACGCTGGGCACACCGGCTCCACAGATTTCCTGGTACCTGGACGGCATACCCATCGATGTGCAGGAGCACGAGCGTCGCAATCTGTCCGAGTCCGGCACATTGACCATTTCGGACTTGCAGCGCCACGAGGACGAGGGCCTGTACACCTGCGTGGCCACCAATCGCAATGGCAAGTCATCGTGGAGCGGCTACCTGCGCCTGGACACGCCCACCAATCCGAACATCAAGTTCTATCGCGCCCCCGAGCTATCCACCTATCCGGGTCCGCCCGGCAAGCCGCAGCTGGTGGAGAAGACCGACGATTCGGTCACCCTCAGCTGGACGCGCAGCAACAAGGTGGGCGCCTCCAGCCTGGTGGGGTACGTCGTCGAGATGTTCGGCAAGAACGAGACGGATGGCTGGGTGGCCGTGGGCACACGCATACAGAATACGACGTACACCCAACTGGGCCTCGTGGCGGGCGTGAACTACTTCTTCCTGATACGCGCAGAGAACTCGCACGGTCTATCGCTGCCTAGTCCCATGTCGGAACCCATCGCAGTGGGCACGGTGAGTAGAGGAGGGATTAAGGAAGCCACGCTTGAGCCTAGCTTAACTTTAATTTCTATTCGAATTGCAGCGGTATTTCAACAGCGGCTTAGATCTCAGCGAGGCACGCGCCAGCCTACTGTCCGGCGATGTGGTGGAGCTGACCAATGCGAGCGTTGTGGACTCTACCAGCATGAAACTCACTTGGCAGGTAAGAGTCGAGAGCCTAAAAGCCAAAGCCCAGCCACTGGAGCTAATAAATTTTGTTTGCTTATGCAGATCATCAATGGCAAATACGTCGAGGGCTTCTACATCTATGCGCGCCAGCTACCGAATCCAATAACAAACATGCTCACGGCCAATACCAATCCACTGCTAGCCTCCACGTCCGCATCGGTGTCGGCCTCAGCGTCGGCTTTGATTTCGACAAAACCAAATATTGCCGCTGCCGGCAAACGTGATGCCATGGATGGCCCGGAGTCACAGACGCCGAGCCAAATCCAAATCCAAAGCGCGTACAGCACCAAATATCGCATGCTCACCATATTGAATGGTGGCGGTGCCTCGTCCTGTACGATGACGGGACTCGTGCAGTATACGCTCTATGAATTTTTCATGGTGCCATTTTACAAGTCAGTCGAGGGCAAGCCGTCGAATTCGCGCCTTGCCCGTACCCTCGAAGATGGTGAGTACTTCATTTCAATTCCCGTTGTGGGAGCAGCCTTTTGCTGCTGCTGCTGCTGCTGCTGCTGCTGCTGCTACTTTGATGTATTATTTATGCGTGGCAAAAAGTTGTCTATGCAGTTGCCTAATGAACCGGCTAAATCGCAGCCCGAAATCTAACAAACCATATAAATGCCAGCACAGGCCACAGCCACACACAGCAACCCTCTGTGTGCCGCGGGGGTAGTTCTATGTGACAACCAATGCAGCTGAGGAAGGGATGGGGCTAGAGCAGTTCGCATTGCAACAATAGCCTAATACAATAAAAGGATATGAGCGCGTTACATAAATGCCAAGCCAGGACCTCTCCCCCCCTCTCTCTCTCTCTCTCTCTCACTCTCACTCTACCTCTCCTTCCCTTATCTCAGCCTGGCATCAGCTGCTGGGATGCGGGTCCCATAATCTCATATAATTTCGAGGTTCGCATAAAAAAGGGAGAACTCCTTTCGGATATGGCAAATAAAAAGTATGTCAATCATTGAACACTGCAAAAAGCGAATCATGCGGAATGTTTAGGCACAGCAAAGGAAAAAGGGAAATGCGAATGCCACCGGCCCTCGTCCTGGCACCGTCCCTGGCCCCAGCATAAACGCGACAAGCACGTAGGCTCAGGTTTTGAGCACACGTGAAGCAATTCATCCGTATTGAATACCTGATGTGATGATTTACATGTGTCGCAGGTGAAAGGATTCATTTGCCCAATGACTCGACAGAATGTTGTCTGCAGCTGTAGCTATGTAGCTCAACTTGCAATTACAATATTTTTCAGTAGGCGTTTTTAATGCAGGAGTAGAGAAACTATTTCTGTTGCAGAGAAATTTGTTCGTTATGTTGTGTGCGTGCTGGCTCGGAGATATTTGGGTCGAACTAAATCGATTAATGATAGGCTACGATGAGAACATCGTAGAGCAGCTCATGTTGAAAATGAACTACTACAAATACTTACACATCTTCCAGTATTTATCAGACGAAGTTGACCAACTAGATGTTAGAAATTATCTCAAATTTTATAGAGTTCTCATATGCTAAAAAATAATACTTAGACATAGACATATAGACGGCCAAAGCGAGAAAGGATTGACAATAAACTAATCCTAAGAGAACGTTTAGACAGGCTTCAAGTCAATGACTTCTGATTAGGTTTTATCTAAGACATAATGAGGTATGAGGCTCCTACGGAGAGCTAGAGCTCCATCATGTAAAACTTTCTTAGTTGCAGCAGTCCTAGACTAGGCTCTGCTTGACTCTATGGTTTGCTGAATTTCAGACAGAGAAGGGATCAACAAGGCCATAGAATTTCCTAGATCGTTAAAAATATAGAGACAATATTAAAAATATGCTAACTAGCAAGAAGAGGATGTCCATGGAATATTACTCTTCCCTTTCTTATAATGATATATGCATATGGGATCATCTGTGTCTGCTTCTGTCTTTAGAGACCTTAACACATATAAGTTCATGTTTCCCAAATCTTAAGGTACAACCCAGGCAAGTTTTCTTTTTTGTCCATTCAAGCTCGCACTTTGTGTAGCTTAAAGAACTGTTTAGATATCACAGTCGAGTTCGACATATCTCAGCGAAAAGTTGGCGGATTTAGTCGACTTTAGCTGATATTGCGCCGAACTTCAGTTGACTAAGACACATGTCCTGCAGATGCGCGTTTGCTCCAGCTGCAGCTGATAAGACAGTCCAAATATTCCATTCCGCTCTCCCTCTCTCTCTCTCTCTTTGCCTACCCTCTCAATGCTTTCTCGAGCTGCAAAAATGCAAAGACTTCAGCGAAACTTTGCAGACAGGTTTATCGCTGCATTTTATCACCCGAAAAACTTCAAAAGAGCGCACAGTTCTCAATGAGACGACTTTTTACGAAATAATTAAATACAAAAATAGAGAAAGAGCAGCAAGAGTGACAGAGAGAGAGAGAGAGAGAGAGGCGACTACAAACAGCAACGAGGCAAATGTCAAGCAATGCAAGCCGCAGAGGCAAACACTGAGCGGAGAAAGGAGGAGGAGGCGCGACACGACAGTGCCGCAAATAAGTCAACAAACGCTCGACTGCAATATAAAATGCACACCCGTCAACGGCAAAGCGCCCTCTGTCTGCGAGTAGATGCATTTGTCTAAATTGCGCTGCGTTGCGTTGCTGCTAACCAAATCAAAACTCATTTCGTATGCATCACATTTCCACCTGCGCGTCTGACTTTTTCCCCACTGCCAGCAACAACAACAACAGCTCAAAGAAATTGCCAACGCAATTGTGTAAAGATAAACAACAATTATTGCTGCCTGCGAACGCAGGAGTTGTTGCCTCTTTGGTGTCTCCGCAAAGTGTTGCAGCGCCTTGCCATGCAATTTTGATGCGCGTTTGTTAGAGCTTGTTTCGAGCAGGGGGCAGGAGCAGGAGCAGGGGGTGGGAGCAGCTAAGCACAGGAAGCATTTGGCACAGCTCCCACAGCAAAGGCGGAACTGGGCAAGTAAAGGATATACAGCTAACAGAACAGAAAAGAAGTTCAGCTGGGGAGTGCTAGAAGCAGCCGACAGGCTGAAGCTGACTAGTGAATACGCTGCAATTCCAGAGAAATTTGGGGATATTAAATTGAAAACGAAATGAAAAAAAATACAATAAATTTTTTTTTTTAATATTTCAAAATTATTTGAGCTAAATTTATTAAAAATATTCATTAGAACAAAAAAAAATTCATGTGAAAAATTATATTTTATATAATTTTTTTGCATAAAAATTTTAATTAATTTTATCTTAATATATTTCTTTAGAATATAATTTTTATAAAAAATATAATTTTTATAATTTATAATTTATATTCATTTTTACTTTTGTTAGTAAAAAAAAATATTTTCTTATTATGCAGAAGAAAATTTGAGAAAAAAAAAACAGATTAAATAAAATATTTATAAACATAGGGACGATCTGAACATAAATATGTATATATTAATATAGGCTCAACAAAAAAAAAAAAAAAAAAAAAAAAATGCAATTTGAAAATTAGAATAGTTTCTTATGTTAGTTATTCGCTAAAATAAAAACAAATCGCAAATTAGGGAACACGGCAGAAAAAGCTAAGAATTCAAGAAGAATTTGACAACGCTATAAAATTGTGCTATCAATTTGCCAGTGTAAGCAGCATTCAAGTCAGCAACTCAGTTGACGGACAGATGATCCACTTAGAGCCGAGTTGGTTTGATACGATTTCGGTAGTGCGCGACTGCAAAAACATCGAGTGAAATGCGTCGTTTCGATTGCAATTTTCCAATTGGTTTGTCAAATGTGATGTGCAGCACATTTTTTGCTCCTTCATTGTGTTGTAGCTGGGTTTTGCTTAGCTACAATTGGCCCGAGGTCGTGTATGCCACACAATGGCAGCTACGTGTTAAGCGCGTCATCAGACACGGCTAGCAAAAACAGAAAGGAAAATACGAAATCAAAAAACGGGAAAAATGGAAAGCAAGAGAAAACCCCCATAGACAAAAAGCCTGACGAGCACTTTAGCATGTCGCAGCAGCAGCAGCAGCAACAAAGCGAGCACGAAGAAAGAAAAAACAAAAAAACAAAAACAAAAAAAAGTGAGAGAGGAATCGCAGCAACACGCTTCTAAGTACACCTAACCCTATACATATACATATGTATATGTATATAGCTCCACCTAGACGGTCGGCTATTTAGAGACGATGTCGTTGCTTTGTTTTGTTTCGCATTCGCACGTGTGTTTATTTAAAGAAATTGCCTCAGACGGAGCAGCGAACGGTGCTGTGACAGCAGGAAATAAATAAACAAATGAAGATGAGCTTTTGAAGTGTGCCCAGAGCAGGAGTTGTCGCTGATGAATGCAGCTACTGCATAGCCATCTAAAAATATAACCCTTTCCCCCCCTCCACCTGTCTCTCTCGCTCTGCCACAATGGGCTGTCTGCCTCTACCCGGAACTGTTTCCGTACTACGCTCAAGTGCTAAACCCACTAAATGGCAATTAATTAGAGCAGCAGCGGGCGCGACTCATTAGAGCAGCTGGCGCAACAATCAAAAACGCATTTCAAGCCGTAGACCCAAAAAGTCCTAACCCATCCGAACTCATCTTTCATTTTTTTCCTTTTCCTTTTAGTGCCCAACGAGGCGCCATTTGGCATGGAGGCCATACTGCTTAATGCCTCTGCGGTCTTCTTGAAGTGGAAGGCGCCCCAGCTGAAGGAGGAGCATGGTAAGTACACCCGCCCCTAGCTGCCTCCCGCCCTAATCAACCCCTCATTAACCTTAATCCTCATGCTTAACCCCAATTGCAGGTGTTTTGCTCTACTATCACGTTATTGTGCGCGGCATCGATACGGCTCACAATTTCTCGCGCATTTTGACAAATGTGACCATCGATGCTGCCTCGCCCACTTTGGTGCTGGCCAATTTGACGGAGGGCGTCATGTATACGGTGGGCGTGGCAGCGGGCAATAATGCTGGCATTGGACCGTATTGTGTGCCAGCGACATTGCGACTGGATCCCATAACGAAGCGACTCGATCCGTTTATCAATCAGCGGTAAGTTGAAAAATTCTACTGAAAATACTGTGAAGACTCCATATGAAGAACTGTGTATTCATTTATGATGATGATGATGAGAAATCTTTGAATATATTCCAGTAATTCCTTTGGCAAAATATCTCATCTGTTTCCTTTAAGCCTTCTGGCACTGCTCAGGCGCAGCCAACTTAAGCTCGCATGACAATTGAGCGTTGCCAGATCGTTTAGCCTCAGTCTCAATTAATGACATTTCATAATTTTGATATTTATTTGCATTTTTGATTTGGTCTCTTCCACAGCTATCCCATCAATCAGGATCATGTGAACGATGTGCTGACGCAGCCTTGGTTCATAATACTGCTGGGCGCCATATTGGCCATCATGATGTTGTCCTTCGGGGCCATGGTGTTTGTGAAGCGCAAGCACATGATGATGAAGCAGTCGGCACTAAATACCATGCGAGGTGAGTACGAGAAACCGTAGCAATGCCAGCAGAGGGGGACGAGGAGACGGTGCCCGGCCACATCCGAGCTGCATCCGTTGCGTTCAGCTAGTGGCGCTTCCTTCCCAGCCAGACTTTTTGCATTCTCCCACACACACACACACACACACATACAGAGATTTGCATATATAAATAACACTAATTTTCCATTGTTCGCGAGGCACACACACACATACACACACACACACACACCGGCACAACAAAATAGGTGCGAATAAATATTTTAGCAGGCAGCACAGCAGAAATTTTCGTGCCGGGCGCATAATAGAAATTAACATTTTGCACGTGACGCTCCACGCCGGAGAGGAACTCCTGCCGCTTCCTCTTCAGCTTTTCCCTAGAGTCGGTTGCAATTATGCATTTAGTTTTGTGTGCATTATTAACCAACAAGTTGAGTGTGTGCATGTGTGTGTGTGTGTGTGCGTGTGCGTGTGTGTCCCTGGCATGTTCAACACTTGCATTTGAGGGCAGACCTTGTGGTCTAATTGAAATTAGCAGAATTACGAGAATGCCAAAGGGCCGCACCGAGAGGGGCGGCCCCCGCTTTGCATGTGGCAACTGGTGCTTAGGCTTTCCGTTTAGCTGGTTGCAGCACAGTAAACGCAGCTCTTTGGCTTGTGGCGCGACGCAATAAACAAGGCCCCTGGCAAATTAAATACTGACGCAAGTGGCAGATACGATTCCAATTTGGGTGCACAAATGGGATGTGATTAAGTGGGAAATCGTGTATATTGGGAAGTAAATCAATGAGCAGCAAAGGACTTGGAATAACATTCCAAATTTAATAAAGATTTCTTATAGTTACTACTACTAAAGAACAAAGGACTACTGCTATTCTTGAAGCACTTCATACTACTTTTTCATAATCATACAGCTGCTGCTTCTTCATATTCATACTAGGACATTTTCATCATTAAAATACTACTAGTACCTCATACATATACTACAGGTAGTAGTACTATAACTATGTACTGTTACTACTATTTCTAAATACTGCTACTATGCACAGCTATTACTATTTATACATACTCCTTATGTGCACTTCTACTACTTTTACTATGTACTACTATTACTACTACTAGTTCTACTACTAATTCTATTACTACTACTGATACTATTATTACTACTGCTACTATTATTTCTACATACTACTACTACTATTTCTACGTGCTACTACTACTCTACTTATTACCTTTCTACCTACTATCGTTACTGCCTGCTACTACTAATATTCCTACTATCAATATGACTGCCTAATACTACTACTATTACTAATACTATTAGTTCTACTAATAATTCTACTACTACTACTACTGCTACTATTATTTCTACATACTACTACTACTATTTCTACGTGCTACTACTACTCTACTTATTACCTTTCTACCTACTATCGTTACTGCCTGCTACTACTATTATTTCTACTATCAATATGACTGCCTAATCCTACTACTATTACTACCAAATACTGAATCTATCTACTATAATGACGACTACTACTACTACTGCCACTATTTCTTACTCCTATTTTCAATCTACCTAATATGACTACTACGTTCTCCACAACTACTACTACATCTACTACTGCTAAATAGCATAGCATACTTCATCTCTGTTTTATATTTATCCATCAGATAGTCATCATGAAATGGAGCTTAAAACATTTATGAAAACCTTGCAAAACAGTAGCTTTATGGGAAAATAACTTTTGCATCGAAAGCGCATCAAGTACAAGCCCGTAAAAGCTGCTGGCTATTATTTTCAATTTCCATAGTTTACACTAGTTTACAATATAGTTGTGATTTTGTTTTGAGCTGTCCCCGTGGCAGCAACAACTGCAACGCTGCTGTGCAGCTTTGGCATTGTTCAACAAGCCGCAGCTAAACGGGAAGCACGAAACAAAAACACAAAAAAAAAAAAAAAAAAACAAATGAAATGCTAAAAAAACGGCGCCCGTTGCATATTCATTGGGCGCCAGTTGCAATAAACTAAGCAGCAAAAAGCGCAAAGCTCACCTGGATGGCCGTAGACAATGAACAACAACAGCCCGATTGCCACGCCCACCTCCCACCAACCCCGAACAACAACGGGTGCCATAAAATACTCGCTTGATGCGCAGTTATAACCCGGGGACAGTTTAATTGCTGCATTTTTTATGCAATACGTTTTTTTTTCTTCTCTCCTTTATTTTATTTGAGCTGCTCGAAAGTATGCAACACATTTTTGCACAAGCGCCAACTGGAAAATTGACAATAATTTATTTGATTTTCAACTGTGTGTCTGAGTGTATGTGTGTGTGGGCTGTGACAATAGGGTAAATTGCGCATACGCCTCCTGCGACCCGCCCTTGGCATAATATTATTTTTAATGCGCTGAATTTATAGCACTGCATTGAAGTCCCACAAGTCAAACGAATACCAAAAAATAAAATACTTTCGCCCTTAAAATAATTGCTAGAAACTCTTGTTAATTATTGAAGAATATAAGAAAATTTTATAATTGCGTTTTGCTTATTTATTTATTCTTTTTTTTTTTTTTTTTTCTATTAATTAAGTTGTTAAAAATGTTTAAATATCTACAAATACAAAGGCTTGAATTTTATGTTGATAATAATAAAATTACATATTTATAACAGCATTAGAAATTAAACAAAAATTTTAATATGCATATGAATAGAATATTCGTTTGGGACTACAACTTATTTTAGTGGAAACAAAATATTTACATTAATATAAAATAAAATTCCAAAATACATTAAATTCCACGCAAAAGCTGTTTTCGCATATTTGCGAATTGTTTTTTCAGAACATTCAAGAAGGACTTACGTGGAGCTTGTCTCTACCTATGTTTTGTTTGTTCATTTAGGGCAACAATTTATTTGACTCACACAATTTGTAGCAAAACATTTAATTGCTCTCACTCACACTCTCCACCTCTATCTCTCTCTCCCTGTGTGTTCTCTCACCTGTAGGCAATCACACGAGTGACGTGCTTAAAATGCCGAGCCTATCGACGCGCAATGGCAACGGCTACTGGCTGGATGCCTCCACGGGGGGCATGGTCTGGCGCACTTCGCCCAGTGGCGATACCCTCGACATGCAGAAGGATCACATAGCGGACTATGCGCCAGTCTGTGGTGCCAGTGGTGCCGGCTCTGGCGGCGCCACCACCAGCAGCGGCAACACAGGCGGCATCGATGATATTCATGGACATGCCGGCGAACGCAATCATCAGCGGTAAGTTTTTCCACATAGTTACGTAGGTAGACACGCCACCGCCCCGTCCAGGGTCCACCTAGAGTAAATGCGCAAAGCGAAAAAAGAAAGGGAAATGGGAAATTTAACTGGGGACCCACTCAAAGCGACGACAATAAAAATTCACCAAACTGTGAAATTGCATTTTTCTGGCGCGTCGCAAAAACAATTTTTTAACACAACTTTTGTAATACCGCGTGGTTACTCAAAAATGGTATATTGAATAGGTGAAGCGCTAGGTAACACTCTAGAGTAGAAGTTCCTTATATAATTCGTGAATAACATTGATGGAGCAATCGAAGAAGTTGCAGTCGAAATAGATAGATCAATCGGTATACCTTCAATTTTTGACCTAAGTAAAACTCCGAGTTTTTCCTCCTCATATCGATATATAATGCAAGAACAGCTTGAGAGACAAATTTATAAGCGCATCGGTTCATATTTTATACATCTATAAAAAGTTTGCAATTTATCGATCACTTTTTAACTAAATCGATATAAAGCAATATCGAAGTCATTTTTATTCCTTTTATTAGATAATTCATTAAAATTGATATTTTAATGAGATTTAAACTGAGTAATTTAATAAAAAGAAAATATAGATATTCTTTAATTTTATATGATAATTTATGATATTTCAACTACTTCAAATAATTAATAAAAGTCCGATAAATATCGATTTTCCTTAAGAAACATTTTTATATTCTAAACACTTTTAAGATGTATTTAACTTTTTGCCCAATAATGCTTGAGGTATATCCTAGTCGCATATACCCCATCTAATGGCAGCATACTCCCACTTTGTTTTTGTTGGTAGATTTTCGTTTTCGCTTTTTAGCAGGCGGCGCCGGGCCAACAAAAATCAAGTTAGAAATGGAGATGTTGGCGCGCTATTTATGTTGATTTTTGCAGCAGCAAGTGGACAGCTCCCTGGCGCTCTCTCGCTCTCGGCGGACAGTTCCCATTGGCTGCATAGTTTTTCAGGCAGCTCCAGCTCTGGCACAAATGTAATTATTGAAGTGTCGAGCAGTTTGTGCTGCTACCTGCAGCATATACATTTGTCTAGCTTTAAGAGTTAATAGCTTTAAATTGCTTTCGAGTAAAGTTGAGCAGAGTCCCATTTAGCTGTTAGCTAACTATGGGAACTAGGAGAACAGGGAATTTATATGGCTAGAGTTGTAGTGAGATAATGTAAACAGAAATCAGAGCTGTTTTAATTAAGCATGAATTGTTTATATTTATAGAAAACTCTTTGTTCAATGTTTTTATCAGTTCAATTGAAAACAGGAAAAAAAATTGTCTAAGATGTTGTTAAATAATATAATTTTCTAGCTATTTAAAAAAAATTAAATATAAATCCTTTGAGCTATTAATAACTCTCACAATATTTCTAGCTTTAAAATGAAATACTTCTTTGATAATTTGAGCCACTTTAATTTGTGCAAACATTTTGTTTGTCCTGCCCGAAATATGTTTTGGTCAAATTATTTTAATGTTTTCTTTTTTGCTGGTTACATTTCGTATAAATCATTTTCGACTATGGTGGAATGGTTAATCAAAGCTGCAAATATTATATATTTATATGTAGAGGCTGCTGGTGGAGCTGGCAATTGCAGGCGTGGCTAATTTATTTGTCTGGCAATCAGAAGGCATAAAATAACTGTTTGCATTTTGTTAGATTTGTTTAATTTTTCCGTTGATTCGCGCTGCCGAAAAAGCCGTAATTGTTATTTATTTGTGGCCAATTTTACGCACAGCAGAGCTCATAGATTGAATGCAATTAAATCACTGAGAGAGAGAGAGAGAGAGAGAGAAATATATATACTTTAAATTAATATTCCATCGATGCTTAAAGTGCGATTTTTAGGATCGAATAAATTCGAGAGTGGATTGTAATAACTCTGCACGGCGACTGGCAAAAATCACAGCTGTCCGCTGAAAGGCAATTAAATGCCAATCAAGCATAAAAAGCAGCTGAAGAGCAGCGGGGCGGGGGCCGAATATCAATAAAATAAAAATAAAAATAAATGTAACGAGCAAATGAAATATATATAAATTTATATAAATCTCGATATATCCATAATTTAAATGCAATTTGCATGGCCAACTACTGTATATGAATATATAAGTATGTATATATTTGTATATATCTGCAGCGACATAATTAAAATTATTTTCGCACACTTAATTAGACATTAAAAACACAAATTGAAAATGTGCGCAAATATATTAATAATAATTGCAACAAACACATTCACGACTCACTGAACGAAATGTGCACTGACAATGGCAATAACAATAACAATAACAAGCGCAATAATCATAACAATAACAATATAAAAGTAATCACACTTTAGTGAGTGTCATATGTGTGAAAATAAAAACAGCTCAGCGTGCAGAAAATGAATGCATTCGTTAGGTTTCAATTTTAATGCTGTTTTAAGGGTCCGCTAAGAGCCTGGGTAGCCTCATTAAATATTCTAGTTATGAGAGGCCATAATGAGTGGAAGAGTTGAGTATGAATTATATAAAAAAAATGTATGCAAAATACTTTTCTGAAAAGGAAACTATTCTGAAAAAATGTATTCAATTTTAACAAGTAAGAAGGCTCCAGTCGAGACTGCTCGACTAGGAGATACCCTGAACCCTCCAAGCTGATATTCTAATCATTCTGCACTTCTTTTATGCACACATACATACACATGTATCCACACGCACGCACAAGCCTGCGCTCTGCTAACTGCGCAGCTAGCAGCGGCTGCGCTTGGGCTGCACTGTAGTGTGGGCAATATAATGAGAATTTATTTGTTGAATAATTTCTTTTGTAGACATACGATCTTAATGAAACTTTTAGAGCGTAATCATATGACTAAAATGTGTGTACATTCCAAAGCACAAGTCTCTAGTATTTGAAATGCGTTTTTTACAAATTGGGGGAGAAGGGGGCGTGGTATCCAAAATCTGTAAATTACAAAATCTTTGTATCGATTAACTTTATATACAACGCAAATTTGAAGACTCCAGGTCTAAAAGTGTTCAAATTAAGCTGAAAAAACAAAATCAATTTTTCGATTATTCTCGATAAAAAAGTTATCGGATGATTTATCGAAAAAATAAAGCAAACTCGTACTGCGTATGGTACACACGAGTATGCATGCCAAATTTCAGCTCTCTAGCTCTTATAACTTCTGAGATCGACGCACTCATACGGACGGACGGACGGACGGACAGACGGACAGGGCTATATCGACTCAGCTCGTCACGCTGATCAAGAATATATATACTTTGTGGGGTCTGCCACGCCTCCTTCTGCCCGTTACATACTTTTTCACAAAACCATTATACCCTGATTTCCCATTTTCAATGGGTTCAGGGTATAAAAATAACTATTTATGAAAATATTTATTTTTATGAAGAAATAAATATTTTAAAAATATTACAGATCTGGGATAATATTTTCTATACAGATATATTTAGTAAAATTTAATATTTATTTTATGAAAAAAAAAAAAAAAATAATAATAAATAAAAGATATTTGACCTGATTATTAAATATCATTATCATCACTGTTTCAAACAGGTGAATAATATCAACAAATTTTTTCCCTCTTGATAAAAATCCATTTTTATTTGAAGTTTATATACCTTGAATACATATTTATATACTTATATATATAAATGTTCAATTAAATACCTTTCATTTTATAATTTTATGTACAAATACATTGAGTATCTTGCCAAAAAACTGTAAATAATTTTTAACATATGTCATATCTGGCATTTTTCAGCACTGCGCTTAATTCCATTAAAAGTAGAGCTGCATTCTTTATTTGTATATAATTCTCTATACAAAATTTCAACAAATGATATGTAAAATAATACATGCATATATACAAATAATTATTTGATCAGCTTACGAGCAAACCAAATCGTTTAAATTTTTTCCCACTGCTCAACACTGTAAAGTATTTCAGACAGGTGGCAGTCCTTGCAGGCTAGTGAAATTCCTCCATTCAATCATTTTTTGTCGCTTAAATCAATTTTAATTCAAATATATTTTACGATAATTACTTTTGTTTTTAATTTTTGCTATTATTTTTATTTTTTTTAATTTAAAAATATAGCTATTTTGAAAATTCCCAAAGTAAGCTCCACCTAAACTATTTACGCCCTTGCAGTTTTTATTTTCGTGCATAGTTTCCATTGACATTTAACGCTGACCCCAGTCAGTTTTGCTTTCGTTTTTTTGGTTTGCCTTGGCACAAAGGATTCATTCAGCGCGCAGACATTTCCCTTCGCCAAATGAAAACTCATTAAGGGCATTAAAAGCGTATTTTGAAATGCACGCACCAAAGTGTTTTTTGTTTTTTTTTGTATTTCCACCTCGACTGCACCATGGCGACTCCATCAATACGCCATATATACATACACACATATATAAATGTGCATACATATTTTAGTCAGCTTTTAGCTCCACTCGGTCTCTGTCTCTGTCTCACTCACTCCTTTCTGGTTGCTATTTAATCCGCTTTCAGTATTTAAATACGAAAATAATGTTAAAAATTTTTGTGTTCACCTCGGTTTTTTTTTTTTCTGTGACCTGTAAAAGTGTTGTTGGAAGGGTATTTTGACAGACTGTTCCTTAGGTAATAATTTTTAACAATTTTTAATAAAAAATAAAATAAAATAAAATTATAAATATATTTATATCGCTTACATAGACTCTGAATAGTTTCATATTTCCCAAGAACTTGAAAACTTAAAATTACTGTTGTTTGTTCTCAAGAATTTTTAGATCTTGACTTAAGAAATATGATTTTTTTTCATTTTTCTAAATCTCAAGACTTTCTATTAGAAATGAAATACTTGACTTATCTTGAAGTATATAATATAATATATATAAATACTATAATGAAATAAAAAAATTCTATATATAAATTTAAAAAAAAAAATCGATATATATAAAATAATATTTCAGATATTGCAAACAAATCAAGTGAGTTGACAAAGGGTATTTTCTAGTTCAGCACTTAGAACCCTCAATTCGTTTTTCTGATATATTTCGCTCAGCTAATTTAGGTGAGTGCGTGAGTTTCATTCGGTTGCTCTGTCCAGGTGCAGCTGATGATAAGCATTATCTGCTGCTTAGAGCGCCAACGCTAGCTCCAGCTTCAGCTTTGTACATTAGTTGGGTTTAACGGCTGGCGAATGGAGTCGGGCAGTTGTTCAGGTGTGAATATGTAAAATGTTAAATCCGAAATATAAATTCCATTTTTACACATGAGCACGCGTCCGCCTGCATGGGAACTGTGCTTCCGTGCGGAGGCGAATGCAAATTTCCGCTACGTATGCCGACCGCACGCCATAAATTCTCGACCTCAAGCGCAGGGCAGGGCAGACCCAAAAATTCGAAACGAACCGACAAATTTATAACCGAAAAATGTTTTTACCCCCTCACCTCTCTCTCTCCTTCTCTCTCTCTGTCACTCTCACTTCCCCCTCTGTGGGAATATTGTAATAAACAAGCGACGGGCAATAAATGATGATTTTTTGTTTTTGTTTTTATCTCTTCATTTGCAGCTACGTGGGCGAATACTCGAATATTCCCACCGACTATGCGGAGGTGTCCAGCTTTGGCAAGGCGCCCAGCGAGTATGGACGTCACGGCAATGCCTCACCCGCACCCTACGCCACCTCCGTCATACTCAATCCCGGCCAGCAGCAACAGCAGCAGCAGCAGCAGCCTCGTTATCAGCAGCGTCCAGGCCCGAGCTCCTATGGCATGCAGCGACCCATGCATCCGCATTACCAACAGCAGCAACAGCAACAGCAGCAGCAACAGTTGCAGCTGCAGCCGCACTCCAGCGCCAACATCTATCAGCAAATGTCCACCACGGGCGAGATCTATCCCAGCAACACGGCCGGCGCACGCTCTGTTTACTCCGATCAATATTATTATCCAAAGGACAAGCATATGCACATGCACATCACCGAGAACAAGCTGAGCAATTGCCACACCTATGAGGCGGCCCCCAACACCCATCAGCAGCAGCAGCAGCAGCAGCAACAGTTGACGGCGAGCGTGCGGCGGCAGCAGCTGCCACATGGCTGCAGCATTGGTCGGGACAGCGCTCGGTTCAAGGTGCCGGATCAGACGCTGGGCAAGAGCCATCAGCAGAACTTGCTGGATCTGGATGGCTCCTCGTTCTGCTACAACGGCCTGGCTGACTCCGGCTGCGGCGGCTCGCCCTCGCCCATGGCCATGCTGATGTCGCACGAGGACGATCAGGCGCTGTATCATACGGCCGACGGGGATCTGGATGACATGGAGCGCCTCTATGTGAAGGTCGACGACCAGCAGCAGCCGTCGCAGCAGCAGCAACAGTTGCTACCTCTGGTGCCGCAGCAGCAGCAGCCGCAGCAGCAACATCTGCCCCAGCAGCTGCCACTCGACTCGCAATCTTGGCGCGCACAGAGCACTCGCTCCAGCCGCAAGGCCCATGTGGAGGAGCCCCTGGCCAAGGAGGCCGCCGAGCTGATCTACGCCCCCGGCAGCGTGGCCAGCGAGCGCAGTTTGCTAAGCAACTCCGGCAGCGGCAGCAGCAGCCAGCAGCCCTGCCACAATGTCTGACCCCTGGCCGCGGCCAGCAGCAGCCAGTCGGCGGCGCAGGTGCAGGAGCAGCTGCATGCCAGGGAGGTGCGTGAGCTGCTCGCCTGGTGCGAACGCTTCAACAACGGCGGCGCCGAGAACTTTGATTAAGCGCAGAAGTGAGCAAAGGGCGCATACTGAGCGCACTGACTGTAGAAAAAGCAAAGAAATAACGAGGAGTTCATACCTTTTGGTTAGCTGAAAGAATAAAGCGAAGGTAGATAATAGAAATTAAAGGAGAAAAGTAAAAGTCGATTGAGCTTTTGGCTTTAAAGCCGAAGAATGAAGAGCTTCAAGTTGAGTTTTAAGTTTTGTTTGTTTGATCAAACTATGCCTTCTATATAATGCAATAAACTTTTTAGTGGAAAGCTTGAATTTTTAAACGATTAAGAGAATGCTTGAAATTCACTTGGCAAGAATATATTTTATAGTGAAATTATAAAATTGCATAGCCTTTCAGTTTTAATTGATATTTGAAAAAAGACCTTGAAGACCTGCCTTGAATACATGTTCTTTGTATTAGAAGCTTTAATGAGCTTTCAGTGCGCAGACCTAATAATATTTTGAGATACTTTCAGGTCCCATAAACGATGGAGCTTTAGACTCAAAGCTCAATACAAGATTTCCTAATGCTCAACAGCTTTTCTTCCTTTATTTCTTTCCTAAAACTTTATTCCATTCAGTTAACCAACATATTTAAACTCAGACGCGACAGTTTACTACAAAATTGATTTGATATATGATTGATATGAATATTGTTACAACTAATTTTCTTTAATGTGACTAAGACTGAGAGCATTTTCTGAGTTAAAGCTGATAATTTGAAAGGAAGTAAACAAGTTACTCTTAAAGGTTTCGTTCGAACTAACTAACTACTCATACATAAAGCTGACTTGCTAAGAAGTGCCAATATCTATGCCTCTATGCTAGTGATAGACTAACTAACCCTCTCTCTCTCTCACACACTTTCTCTTCTACTATATCACTCTCTCACTATAATTGCTTTACACCCAATTAGGCTTAGGTTTTAGTTGTAGATGATTGTAAATGTTATCGAAACGTATGATAAGTTCCTCCAAGTATGCGGGCAGCTAAAGGCCGGCGCTTAAATGATGATTAGTTAGATTGTTACCTAACAGCTTAATTACGAATTACTAAAATTAACAAACCATAAATTTAATAAATTATGTAAAATGTAAATAGTTGATTAAGCTAGAACATAGACGAGTTTTCAATTGAATGTATTCGCATATGCAAATAGGACGACGAATCAAATTGTGCATATAGTAATTAAAAATCAAATAATTATAGCAGAGCCCATTTATTTAGTTGTAGTACACAAACACAAGCACATATTACTTATAAATATAAATTTATACATACAATACATACATACTATATACATACAGACTTACTTATGTAATTAGTGCGTAATTACCAGCAGGCATATATAACAAAACTCCTTCAATTTAATGGCTAAACACGATTTGTAAACCCCATTAGATATGCATTTACACACACACCAACACACAACAACAACACAAATAAATAAACATATATATTCAAGCAAATAATGTATGAAGCATAAAATATTAAGTACATATATATTGATGTGTTTATCGTAAAATATTCGTATGTTGTTTATCCATTAGAAAATACAGAAATTCAATGTATGTCTATGTGTAATTATTGATATTGAATACGCGTATTTACAATGTAGCAATTAAAATGCAAATAAAAAATGCCATAATTATGAAATTCACAAAACAAGCACTCACGTCTGTTTATTCTATTATTGCCTATCTGCATTGTGGACTTCATCAAAGATGAAACTGATTCGAAATTTTAATTAAATTAGCTCTTTATTTACTTTATGTGGGCAGAGTTGTTTAGCTATTAACTAATGACTGGGTTATTCAAAGAGCATTTATCTATATATTGGTTGGTTACTCAAGCTTGTGTGTCAAATGAGAATTGAAGTCACTGTTATTGGTAATTAGACTAAAACAGCGAAGGATTCAAGGACGTGAAGGTCTCCAGGTATTGCAGCTGCAAGTAAAATATATGAAATATATCTGATTTTTACTATGGTCAACAAAAATGAGCTAAGAGGGCCCAAAAATGAATAAAGCTCTACTACAAAACATTTATTCACAGCCAGCAGCTGAAGTCCTCAACCAGACGATTTTTGGTGCGCTTCAAGTGCAGAGACGGCATCAACGGATGGTATTAAATCTACTTTTTTACTTATTATTTAAAAAATATATTTTGTATTCATTTCATAAGTCTTATTCATAAGTCTTAGAGCACTTAATTCAAGTCATTAACTCTCAATAAAAAGTTATAATAGTATTATCGTACAAAAGTAGAACAATCGGCAGCATAAGCTGCAGTACGATCAATTCTGGCATTCACTTTGATTTAACAAACATTTGATGTATGAAATAAATTCATAAAATCCAAATATAAATGTCTTCAAGCAGCAAATGTGAAATATAGAATAAATAAATGCAATTTAAGTAAGAAATATTACCTGCTGGTATTCGTAAGTATTTAAAATATACAAATATTATACAAAATTTTATTTATACATATTTCATAAATTCTAATACAGAGCATTAGCTTAAGAGTTGCACTCAATATATTTCTGCCATTTATTGCTCTTGCAACTCGTTTTAAGCCCTGTCCACAGTCAAAGCCAATTCGCAAATGTGCCAAGCCCTAATTTTATCAGCGCACAAAAGTAGGCAACATAAATTTCAATTCCGGCGCACCTGCCCACCAAAACAAATGGCCGACCAAGTGCAGGGCTAATTGAAAAGTTGCTGCCGTCGCGACGTTGCAATGGCTACCCTTACTTAACTAAGCTGCAAGCCAACTCTCCCCGCGGCGCGCTGTGCATCTAGTTTCAGCAGAGTGACGCGCTTTTAATTAGCTGCAAAAACCCAAAATTATGCATGTGTGCGCGCGTGTGTGTGTATGTGTGAGTGGGCTGGGCCCATTTTAACTACAAAATAATTACGTGCTAGGCAATTAATTGCCAAGGGGTTAGAGGAACGCTGAAAAAAAGAGAAGGACGGACAGCAGCAGCAACAGTGAGAGCGACTCACGTGCGCCATTTGGCAACATCCGGCAGCCATTTGTTGCAAATCGACAGCCACTTCCGGTGCGTGTTTTGAACAGAGGCCACGGGAGACGGGCGGCTGCCTGGCAACATTTGTTATGAGCGGTTTGCTTAAAAGAGAGAAAAAAATATTAAGGTAAATGCATTGCAAAATGTGCTTAATGTAAATTTAATCATCAGTTGGAGTGGGCGAGGGCGAGCAGGGGAGAGAAGAAGCCAGATTGCAGATGCAGAGAACTATGGTATATGAAAATATGCTGCATATAATAGGAGTGAAATTTATGAAATAGAGACTAGATTTGTGTGTTTATTATGAGCCAAAAATTAGGTTTTATATACCCATTCTTGAATAGAAATGAGTATATTGGTTTTTCATCTATTCATATGAATGAAAACGAAATTAAGTTGAATATAAACTTTACTTCTAAGACCAGAGAAAGTTTACTGTATTTCTTTAATATATTTGTGCATCTCTAATTTAGAAATAAGAATAATATGAATTTTTTAATTATAAATTAGTATTACTCCTCATATGGAAGAATGTATGGTCGGCTTCTTAAGATCTTATTTCACTCTAAATTAGAAAAATGTTGTCATGTTCTTTCAAGTCTCAAATATATACAGCTCCGATGTCGTCTTGCCTCTATATTGTGCTGTTATAGTTGGCCCACATTGCAGCCATTCAAGGCAAGAATCTGCTATTTAGCAAATAAGCTAAAATCCACGTGGAAGTAGACATAAACTTGATTTCTGTGTTACATCCAGAGAGCTTTTACAAATATAATAATTTCCACATCAAATCAATTTCAATGAAATTCTATGTTCAGCTGTTCATAGACCAAACAAAAATTGACTGCTTCCATCTGGCTGATTACACTTCACATGTGCCCATCACTTGGGCTGCCAGAATATGCTTTAGCTGTGAAAAAGAAAAAGATGTGCGCAATTTGCGCTTCATTTTCAGCCGGCGTGAAATGGCGTTTTATGCCCAGGCACTTGCTGCGGCATTCAATTATGTAGCGAAATGTTGGCAGTTCATAAAAGTAGCTGTCATTAATATGTAAACAATCGCGGCAATTGTTTTCGAAAGTGCCAGCCAGGCCGAGAGACAACAGCGTTACGATGTCTTGATGCTGCCTGCTGCTGCCTGTTGCCTGTTGGCTGTTGCCTGTCTGCTGGCTGCGAGCACTAAAACAAACACATAATCATTTTATTAGCAACAGGACGAAACGGAGGCGAGGCAGCCAAAGGATTCCAGCGATTCGCTTCGAATGACTGAGCAGCTCGTATTGGACTACGTGTTGGCCATGTTTCGTGTTGTTGTTGTTGTTGTTAATGCTACTTGAGTTAACATGTTGCACCCGAGATCCCCATCATGTGTCAAGTGTGATGTTCGTTTGTGTGTGTGCATGTGTGTGTGTGTGTGTGTGTGTGACTTGGCCAGCACGTGGAATTTTTCTCGTTAGCGAAACTAATTATCCGTTGTCGCTGTCAGCAAAATATCGTTAAACGGTAGGTGACACTCACACGCAGCTGCATCCAACACACACATATGTGTGTGTGTGTGCGCAGCACTTGAAGTTGCTTGAATGAGCGTGTGCATGTGCGTGTGAGGCTGACCGCCATTTACTGCCAACGTCAACAACAAACTAGGCAAAAATTCAACTTTAGGTGTTGGAAAAGCAAAAGCTGAGAGAAATTAAATTAGACCAGCAATATTTTGAGGAAGAACTGATTTTTCTACACTGAGCTACAGTGTTATCAAAATATGGCCGAAACGCCGAAATAGTAGAGACTCAACTGTAAAGCTATCGAAGAGCTTTTGCAATAGCAGCACTTTATAAAACCTGTAATGGTTTTACTTATTCTGCATATGCTTTTCTAGATTAAAGACGTTTCTAGATTAAAGACGTTTGATTTTTTTTTAGCTATCCATATATCCAAGCCTATACAGTCGCTAACGTCTTTTAACCTGACATGAAATCTACCTACTATATGTTACTATTACTCTAATATGCCTTAACCATATCAATATTATTTATATACAATAATACCTCAACCAATGAAAGTGATATCAAGGTTCTAGAAGGAGAGAAAAACACCAATACGAATCCATTAACTTTTAAGAAATAATATGGCAATTTATATAGTTATTTCATAAAATTTTTTATATTCATTTATAGTTTCTTACCCTATTAAAATAAATTACCTAAACGAACTATCATTCAAGTTAGTAAAAAACTGATGCAACCATACCATTTGCTCAACTTAAAAAATTTAAAAATATATGTATGTATGTATGTATCTTGTATTTCTTTCTTTATTATTATTATTCATCTATACAAATTACTACTAAATAATATAGTAAAAAAAAAAAAAATTTTTTTAATTAAAAAAAAATTTTAAAATAATATATTTAATGTATATTCCTCAGGTAAAAATATTTCTTTTGTATTATTTATTACTACTAAATAATGTATATAATTTTTTAAATTTCATTCAAAAATTTTTTTTATATACACTGCTGGTCTTAGTTTAGACGCACCCATATTTTTTGTAAAAAAAAAACGGTTTTATTTAATTATTAGGCATGTCTTGGCTGTCAAAACTTTTTATTATTAATATGTATATAATTTTCCTTTTTTTTATTCAATTGAGATTTCGTCTACCTAGCTCTGATTACATTTGTATCGATATCCTGTTGCAAAATGGCATTTTCATTTCCAATTCGAAACAGGTACGTGAATATGGACTAACTGTTTCTTCCCTTTGCATTCTATTCGCACTTGTTAGGCCTCAGAGCAGAGGGCAGCTCTACAATCTAAGAATTTATTATGTACTCATAGAAATGCAATCAGCGTAAATGTCATTTGGTGCCTGAGCCTGTTAGGCTCAGCTGACTAAAAAGTCATTGAGCAGCCTGTCCCACAGGTGGGGCAAATGGAAAAATAAAGAAACGGCTGGCAAATGGGGCAACTGTTTAAGTAAATTAACAATTCATTGCATGAAAAGTTTTGAAAATTTTGTTTGCGCACATAGAGGAAACAGAGCTCGCCCATTGACAAGGCAGTTTTATTGTTGCTGGGGACAGAGAGAGAGTGAAAAAAAAAAATGAAAGAAAGGAAAACTGAAAAGCGAGTCACAAACGAACAAACAAACAACACAAACGGAAGCTGGCAAACAAGCGGAAGGCTCTGGCACTCAACTAATGGCAGCATAATGCGTTTATTGTGGAATCACAAGAGCAACAGCCAGCAGACAGTCACAGATGTGGATGTGGACCAGGCCGCCCATTGCTACGGGGAAAGCCCCGGCGCCTCAGTGCCGGCAAAACTCCCCTAGCAAGCAAAGGGCGGCGCGCGATAACCCAGCGCAAATGTCAACGCAAAAGTCAATCAGAGCGAGGTGCGGCATGCTCAGTGGGTGGCTGAGGGAGTTGCTGCTGCTGCACAGACATTTCACTGAAACTTAATAGAAACGTGTGCGACGACCCCACCGATAGCCACCCCCTCGCTGCTGCCCTTGGTGCCCCACCAAAAAACACGCACGCACTTTTCAATGGGCAGCAGACAGGCGGCAGACAGCGCAGCATTCAAAATAAATTCAATTGAAATACGTTTTTTTTATGCCCTGGTATTATTGATTGA